CAGTGTGTTAATGTCAGGTGTTCACACTACGCGCCTTAATAAGCTTTATTAACTAGCGTGGTGTTTGAATGGTTTAATTAACCCCTTACAAATTACTAGATAATTGCTTTCTTTGTTTACTGTTAACACTACAATTCATAACACATTCATTGTCGAATGATTTCCATGCTGTATGACTCTCAGATTGCTACATTCCAAACAAATATTATTAGTGAAAATATTATATATATTTGTAGAAATATACGCTTTTTCCGGTAAAACATATTCTGTAAAGCCTGATTGTATTTTGATAAAATGTGCACACCGATTAGCACCGAAATTGGTACGCTCTCCAGCAGTACTCACAGTTCTGAATGGTAATTAATGAACCGCTTAAGTATATTGGGTACCTGGGGAATTTGGAGAATTTCATAGATAACTTCCAGAGCAAGGGTTCATTCGTAGTATTGGTTACAACCCAAAAGAGGGGAGCCCTTTCTCTCCTTTGGTGCTGCAACCCAAAAGAGGGGAGCTCCTTCTCTCCTTTGGTGCTGCAACCCAAAAGACGGGAGCCCCTTCTCTCCTTTGGTGCTGCAACCCAAAAGAGGGGAGCCCCTTATCTCCTTTGGTGCTGCAACCCAAAAGAGGGGAGCCCCTTCTCTCCTTTGGTGCTGCAACCCAAAAGAGGGGAGCCCCTTCTCTCCTTTGGTGCTGCAACCCAAAAGAGGGGAGCTCCTCCTCTCCTTTGGTGCTGCAACCCAAAAAGAGGGAAGCCTCCCTCCGGCAAGGGAGCTCCTCCTCTCCTTTGGTGCTGCAACCCAAAAGAGGGAAGCCTCTCCTCTCCTTTGGTGTTGCAATTCAAAAGAGGGGAGCCCCTTCTCTCCTTTGGTGTTGCAACCCAAACGAGGGGCTCTCTTTTGGGCTACACCCTCAAAGCAGTCAAAGGAGAGAAGGGGAGCCCCTCCAAAGTCTTACCGATGAGGAAAAATCCAGTTAAGGTTATTACAGTCACAACAAGGAGAGCCCCTTCTCTCCTTTGGTGTTGCAACCCAAACGAGGGGAGCCCCTCCTCTCCTTTGGTGTTGCAACCCAAAAGAGGGGAGCCCCTTCTCTCCTTTGGTGCTGCAACCCAAAAGAGGGGAGCTCCTCCTCTCCTTTGGTGCTGCAACCCAAAAGAGGGGAGCCCCTTCTCTCCTTTGGTGCTGCAACCCAAAAGAGGGGAGCTCCTCCTCTCCTTTGGTGCTGCAACCCAAAAGAGGGGAGCCCCTTCTCTCCTTTGGTGCTGCAACCCAAAAGAGGGGAGCCCCTTCTCTCCTTTGGTGCTGCAACCCAAAAGAGGGGGGCCCTCCTCTCCTTTGGTGCTGCAACCCAAAAGAGGGGAGCTCCTCCTCTCCTTTGGTGCTGCAACCCAAAAGAGGGGAGCTCCTCCTCTCCTTTGGTGCTGCAACCCAAAAGAGGGGAGCTCCTCCTCTCCTTTGGTGCTGCAACCCAAAAGAGGGGAGCTCCCCCTCTCCTTTGGTGCTGCAACCCAAAAGAGGGGAGCTCCTCCTCTCCTTTGGTGCTGCAACCCAAAAGAGGGGAGCCCCTTATCTCCTTTGGTGCTGCAACCCAAAAGAGGGGAGCCCCTTCTCTCCTTTGGTGCTGCAACCCAAAAGAGGGGAGCCCCTTCTCTCCTTTGGTGCTGCAACCCAAAAGAGGGGAGCCCCTTTTCTCCTTTGGTGCTGCAACCCAAAAGAGGGGAGCCCCTTTTCTCCTTTGGTGCTGCAACCCAAAAGACGGGAGCCCCTTCTCTCCTTTGGTGCTGCAACCCAAAAGAGGGGAGCCCCTTATCTCCTTTGGTGCTGCAACCCAAAAGAGGGGAGCCCCTTCTCTCCTTTGGTGCTGCAACCCAAAAGAGGGGAGCCCCTTCTCTCCTTTGGTGCTGCAACCCAAAAGAGGGGAGCCCCTTTTCTCCTTTGGTGCTGCAACCTAAAAGAGGGGAGCCCCTTTTCTCCTTTGGTGCTGCAACCCAAAAGAGGGAAGCCCCTCCTCTCCTTTGGTGTTGCAATTCAAAAGAGGGGAGCCCCTTCTCTCCTTTGGTGTTGCAACCCAAACGAGGGGAGCCCCTCCTCTCCTTTGGTGCTGCAACCCAAAAGAGGGGAGCCCCTTCTCTCCTTTGGTGCTGCAACCCAAAAGAGGGGAGCTCCTCCTCTCCTTTGGTGCTGCAACCCAAAAGAGGGGAGCCCCTTCTCTCCTTTGGTGCTGCAACCCAAAAGAGGGGAGCCTCTTCTCTCCTTTGGTGCTGCAACCCAAAAGAGGGGAGCTCCTCCTCTCCTTTGGTGCTGCAACCCAAAAGAGGGAAGCCTCTCCTCTCCTTTGGTGTTGCAATTCAAAAGAGGGGAGCCCCTTCTCTCCTTTGGTGCTGCAACCCAAAAGAGGGGAGCTCCTTCTCTCCTTTGGTGCTGCAACCCAAAAGAGGGGAGCCCCTTCTCTCCTTTGGTGCTGCAACCCAAAAGAGGGGAGCTCCTCCTCTCCTTTGGTGCTGCAACCCAAAAGAGGGGAGCCCCTTCTCTCCTTTGGTGCTGCAACCCAAAAGAGGGGAGCCCCTTCTCTCCTTTGGTGCTGCAACCCAAAAGAGGGGAGCTCCTCCTCTCCTTTGGTGCTGCAACCCAAAAGAGGGGAGCCCCTTCTCTCCTTTGGTGCTGCAACCCAAAAGAGGGGAGCCCCTTCTCTCCTTTGGTGCTGCAACCCAAAAGAGGGGAGCCCCTTCTCTCCTTTGGTGCTGCAACCCAAAAGACGGGAGCTCCTCCTCTCCTTTGGTGCTGCAATTCAAAAGAGGGGAGCCCCTTCTCTCCTTTGGTGCTGCAACCCAAAAGAGGGGAGCCCCTTCTCTCCTTTGAGGGTGCAACCCAAACGAGGGGCTCTCTTTTGGGCTACACCCTCAAAGCAGTCAAAGGAGAGAAGGGGAGCCCCTCCAAAGTCTTACCGATGAGGAAAAATCCAGTTAAGGTTATTACAGTCACAATTTAATCAAGGATTAAATCCAAGGGAGGACTAGACCATCTCGTTGATAATGCAACCCAGAGGAGGGGCTCGTTGATAATGGTTGCACATATCTTTCCATCCACCCTGCATATTATTATACCACGTCGTTCGATTGAGATTGTTGGATAATGTCCATTAAAGCACTTAAGCAGTGGTCTGCAGTGGCTACCGCCAATCTACTGCTAATATCACGTGGCCGGACTCCCCACATTATACATCTCATACTCACTAACTAGTAACTTTACTGCAAACATGTCCGCTTTTTGCCCTCATTAACTTTACTGCAAACGTTCCCGCTTTTTGCCCTCTTGCTGAAATGTTGATAACATATTCCTTAGTTAGAATGCAACTGACGAAAAGGTAAGTGGTTAGATAATTGAATGTTGCTCCTTACAGTCTCCTCCTCAGATTACCGTACGTTTTATTTGCTCGTATTTAATGTATTATTTTCAGGGTAGGTTTTTACTTACTCGTTTACTGTCTTGTTAATCGTACCAGACTCTGCCGGGTCTAATCTATAGACTTCTTTTAGATCGGTGTTTTTCTTCGTTTGTGATTTATTAGGATGTTTATAAGACTCTACTTCAAGAACCATGTTATAATGTTTATACTTAACATATTGTAAGGCAGCTTCACTAGCATAATATATTGTAATATAAATGGTGGAGAGGAGAACTGAAAAGTTAATAAAAGTTAATAAAAGATATTAAGAAGAAAATTCTGCTCCAGGATCCATGGTTTGTATAAAAGCCTCCATTTCATTTAGCACCTCCTAGATGATGGTCAAATATGTGCATAATTTGATAATATTGTCACATAATTGTGACAACTTTTTATCCTGGAATGTGAAATATTCCATTATTTATGCTCTGGAAATTCTGATCTTTCTATTGGCCAGTGTGAATTGTGTTTTATTTTGTCGGTAAATTTGAACTAGAATGCATCCTTTACTTAAGCCAGCTATGTGGCCGCGACGATCAAATCACTCACTGCTGAGGGTATATCTTACTGCTTACTGTTGAGGATATATCTTATTAATTACAATGTTGTGGTGAACAACCGAGCAATACCACATGGTCCTCTCTCCTTCATCTCCGGGAATTTGATTTCACGCTATTAGTTAATGCTGGCAGTATAGTAGCAGTTGTATGTAGTAGTATGTAGTATTATATAGTAGTATATAATACCTGTAGCCAGTATTAATATGATTTATGTTGATCTCGTGGCTAGAGATCAAACCATGACCGTGATCTCAGGTACATGACTTTGCTTCTCTCTCTCTCTCTCTCTTTCTCCTAACTCATACAATATATGCATTATTCATTCTGTGCTGAATTGCAGATACAGTTAACCGCCTTTCTGCTACTGTAATATTGACTACTGTTATATTGACCATTCTTTACAGTACCTGCTTTTGGCAAGTGTCTAAGAAATTGGTATTGCTTATCCAATGTTGGGGAGCAAGTATCGGGGTCACTGGGTCAGCTCAATAGATATAATTTCCAGATTGAGTATTATTTACTACTTATAGTACGTATAGGTAATTTTGTATATTTTTGTTTCCTATGGAGCAACTTGTCATTATACTTGTTACCTGGTTACCTGGTTACCTGGTTACCTGGTTACCTGGTTACCTGGTTACCTGGTTACCTGGTTACCTGGTTACCTGGTTACCTGGTTACCTGGTTACCTGGTTACCTGGTTACCTGGTACCAGTTAAAGGTTTTAGTGTGGGTGGTAGAAGGATAGGCGATGGCATCATTTACATGAAATATAAGAAACTATTGGAGGTACAGATCCAGAAAATTAATTACTGATTTAAGGACAATTTTTCAACAGCTAGTACTTCACATTACATGAGTCATGACACTTGCAGCAGCAGCAGGAGCAGCAGCAGTAAATTACTGTAATTAGTAACTGAGCAATGTACAGCTGCTTAGTTCCCTTATCTTACCGATAATATAGAGAGCTGTATTTCTTGAAGTTTATTATTTTATAGTATTTTTAATAAGACGTTTACTTACACGGCAGCAGCATGAATGAGACTACAGGCTACAGCAAGGAAGTGGACTGCGTTTGGGGATCCGTCGGTGAGGCATATTTTAATATTTAGTTAATTTAGTACTACTGGAAGAGTATAGTCACAGATAATACATTTTATTTCATGTTAATATTTTTAATCGCTAATTTATAACTCTTTTCAGGAATTGTATTTTGTTGTTTCTCTGTTATCGCTTATTAATAACTCTCTTCAGGAATTGTGTTTTGTTGTTTCTCTGTTATCGCTCATTTATAACTCTCTTCAGGAATTGTATTTTGTTGTTTCTCTGTTATCGCTCATTTATAACTCTCTTCAGGAATTGTGTTTTGTTGTTTCTCTGTTATCGCTCATTTATAACTCTTTTCAGAAATTGTATTTTGTTGTTTCTCTGTTATCGCTCATTTATAACTCTTTTCAGGAATTGTGTTTTGTTGTTTCTCTGTTATCGCTCATTTATAACTCTTTTCAGGAATTGTATTTTGTTGTTTCTCTGTTATCGCTCATTTATAACTCTCTTCAGGAATTGCATTTTGTTGTTTCTCTGTTATCGCTCATTAATAACTCTCTTCAGGAATTGTATTTTGTTGTTTCTCTGTTATCGCTAATTTATAACTCTTTTCAGGAATTGTATTTTGTTGTTTCTCTGTTATCGCTCATTAATAACTCTCTGCAGGAATTGTATTTTGTTGTTTCTCTGTTATCGCTAATTTATAACTCTTTTCAGGAATTGTATTTTGTTGTTTCTCTGTTATCGCGAATGGTCTGCTGGTGTATGTGTTTGTTGCACTACGGAGAAAGGAGTCCGTTACTGACATTATCTTCTTACAACTAGCTACTCTAGGTATAAGTTTATCTTCTTTCAGCTAGCTACTCTAGGTATAAGTTTATTTTTTTTAATCATAAGTCACACCTGTTCGCCCTTTTATTAGCATCACCCTATCAGTTCATTTGAATCCTTTATTTCTTATCTAAGACATTCTCTCGCAGACTGTTTGAGTGGGATCGCTGGTCTTTTCGGCTCAATATTCTTAGTGAACGAGAGGAAATGGTTTGAAGATGACAAGTCCGTCCTTGGAGACGTTATATGTTATCCTACCGGTAAATATACACATTTCATATACTGACTATATTAATATAGTAATCAGTAAGAAGAAGTATTCTAATTTTGAGGAACTCTATCTCACTACACTTGTTGTGTTATTTCAGGTATGCTGTGGAACATGGCATCCCTGACTACACCTCTACTCCTGGGAAGTGCCAGTATTGGACGCTTCCTAGCTGTGTACTGCCCCTTCACTTACGAGAAATACTTCAAATCTAACGTTGTCAAGGGAATGATTATCTACTGTTGGAGCCATGGTTTCATCGGGGCTGCCATCAGCTTCGCTGGACCAAATAGAGACGGTTAGTTATTGAAGTAATTATAGAGGCGGTCGTATTGCGCTTACATTGAAGGTCCAACAACAAACATTTATGAGGACTGGGGAGCCGGAGCCTATATGCTTTGATGAAGATATTTGTTTGACAGATTTGACAGCGAATCCCATTTGATGAATTAGACAATACCAAACTTTTATAGATTGGGGCTAAATTAAACAATATTTCAGTGAAAGCATACCAAATGTTTGTAGATTGGGGCTACTGCGACCAGACAATATTTGACTCATTTAATAGCGATGCTGTTAGAAAAGGTATTTATTTTCCATCAGATAAACTCAATTAATTGGACATAGTGCTCGTAAATTAGATTAAATATAAGTGTTTGATGGCTATCAAATGATAATATCTTCAATTTATCGAACAAAACATCTGTTATTTAGCAGAATACGTTTTAGCAAATTTCTATTTTCAGTGATCTACATAGCTCTGTTTACGGTTCCAGTCATAGTGTCTTGTTTCCTTATTATCACCTGTAATATTCTGGTTGCTGTCAAGATCCTGGTCATGAAGGTGAGCGACGTTTTAAACATTTTTAGTTCTTGGTAACTTGATTACCTTGGTTACGAAGGTTACCTTGGTGGCTTGGTTACCTTGGTTACAAAGGCTACCTTGGTGGCTTGGTCACCTTGGTTACAAAGGCTACCTTGGTGGCTTGGTTACCTTGGTTACAAAGGCTACCTTGGTTACCTTGGTTACCTTGGTTGCCTTGGTTACCTTGGTTACCTTGGTTACCTTGGTTACAAAGGCTACCTTGGTTACCTTGGTTACCTTGGTTACCTTGGTTACCTTGGTTACCTTGGTTACCTTCGTTACCTTGGTTACCTTGGTTACGAAGGTTACCTTGGTGGCTTGGTCACCTTGGTTACGAAGGTTACCTTGGTGGCTTGGTTACCTTGGTTACGAAGGTTACCTTGGTTACCTTGGTTACCTTGGTTACCTTGGTTACAAAGGCTACCTTGGTTACCTTGGTTACCTTGGTTACCTTGGTTACCTTGGTTACCTTGGTTACCTTGGTTACCTTGGTTACGCAAAGGTTACCTTGGTGGCTTGGTCACCTTGGTAACGACGGTTATCTTGGTGGCTTGGTTACCTTGATAACGAAGGTTACCTTGGTGGTTTGGTTACCTTGGTTACAAAGTTTACCTTGGTTACAAAGTTTACCTTGGTAACTTGGTTACCTTGGTTACGAAGGTTACCTTGGTGGCTTGGTCACCTTGGTTACGAAGGCTACCTTGGTGGTTTGGTTACCTTGGTTACCTTGGTGGCTTGGTTACCTTGGTTACGAAGGTTACCTTGGTAACTTGATTACCTTGGTTACAAAGGCTACCTTGGTGGTTTGGTTACCTTGGTTACAAAGTTTACCTTGGTAACTTGGTTACCTTGGTTACCTTGGTTACCTTGGTTACCTTGGTTACCTTGGTTACCTTGGTTACCTTGGTTACCTTGGTTACCTTGGTTACCTTGGTTACCTTGGTTACCTTGGTTACCTTGGTTACCTTGGTTACCTTGGTTACCTTGGTTACCTTGGTTACCTTGGTTACCTTGGTTACCTTGGTTACCTTGGTTACATTGGTTACATTGGTGGCTTGGTTACCTTGGTTACAAAGGTTACCTTGGTGTTTACGAAGGTTACCTTGGTGGATTGGTTACGATGGTTACCTTGGTAACCTGACGAAGGTTACTTTGTCTTTTATTGATAGATAATGATCATGATGAAAACATTCAAATATTCAGCAAGGCATATTAATCAATGAACCTCATTTCAGAACCAATCTCGCAAGCAAAAGAAGAAGAAGAAGAAGCAAACCAGCTCCTGCCACCAACCCTCCATCCTAATGAGAAACGCTCTCTCTCGCATAAGATCTATTAAGTGTGGGGAGACGATTAAATTAAGCAAGAATTGTAACCAAGTAGCAATAAACCCCATAATAAGCGGCTCCCCAGCTGAGGACAGTCCTAAACCTCCTCCACGGGATAAGAAGGTTCTCAGACAGAGAAGGAAGGAGAACCAGGCTATACTCATGACTATTCTACTCTCCTGTAACTATTTCATCTGCTATATTGAAATAATCCACTATTATGTCACTGTCTCAATCGGTATGGACTGGGAACAATCTTACGTCGTTATTTTTAAAAATGTGACCTATGTTTATCTTTGGTACTACTTTTCTCTGTTTTTTGCTTCAGGTAATAATGCTATCTTACACTTATGTTTCAACCCAAATGTCAAGAGATTTGTTAAGAGACTATTTTTTGGATCTGACAGAGTCCCAGTAACTCTTAATTCATCTATATAACATGGTTACATTCCTATTACTATAACTTGTTAACGAGGTCTGATCGTCATCTTCTTACAGTATTGCTGTACAACTACTACTATAACTTATTACTATAACTAACAATATTTCTTGCGCTGAATTGTAAAAACGCTACTGCTATCTGTGGGCTGCCTTTGCATTTTCGCACTTTACATCAATTGTTTGAAAGGGGTATTAGCTAGTATTACTAATATTATAACTAATATTATTACTTTCTACCCCTAATATATTTATATTATAGTATACGCTGTACACTGTTAAACTATTCTTGTTTAAAAAAAAATGTTTTGCTTTTCATTTGTCTTATCAGTCTGCAATAGTTTAAAATATTACATTCAGCATATTATATGAAACAATGTGAAATATTCTTCCTAAATTTATTATCCTAGAGTTAGTAAATCGTTCTTTCCAAGCACCAGTTTACTTCACCTCTCCAAAACAATCATTTTTATTTTCTATAAAAATCCTGTTTAATATTGGGATACAGCACAAGATGGCTTTGATTTGACGTATTATCATATCACGAAGATTATAATATAGATCAGGGCTATGATATGTATATATATAGAGGGGTCGCTGTGAATAGAACTCCAACTAATCGGGATATTAATTTGGGTACTTCTTACGGGTCGTTCACATATTACGCAATCAGCCGAATGGGAGATTCCAAACAATTACGGTTGAGTACGTAAAGGGAGGGTGAAGGATGAGGGCCGGGGGGGGGGGGGGGGGGGGGGGGTAAAAATTTCCAAAACATTGACTACGTAATATATGAACTACCCGGGACCCCTTGCTTCCTTACAACCGTAAAATTACGTCACCCCAGTTTATCTGTACTGTGACCAACTCACCAAGATTAGGTAGATGTAGTAGGTCGTATGTTTGTAGGTAGATGTGCATGTGGAGTATATTGTGTTCTGTGACCAAGGTTAGGTAGATGTAGTAGGTAGTATGTTTGTAAGTAGATGTGCATGTGGAGTATGTGTTCTGTGACCAAGATTAGGTAGATGTAGTAGGTAGTATGTTTATAGGTAGATGTGCATGTGGAGTATATTGTGTTCTGTGACCAAGGTTAGGTAGATGTAGTAGGTAGTATGTTTGTAAGTAGATGTGCATGTGGAGTATGTGTTCTGTGACCAAGGTTAGGTAGATGTAGTAGGTAGTATGTGTTAGGTAGATGTAGTAGGTAGTATGTGTTAGGTAGATGTAGTAAGTAGTATGTGTTAGGTAGATGTAGTAGGTAGTATGTGTTAGGTAGATGTAGTAGGTAGTATGTTTGTAGGTAGATGTGCATGTGGAGTATGTGTTCTGTGAACAAGGTTAGGTAGATGTAGTAGGTAGTATGTGTTAAGTAGATGTAGTAGGTAGTATGTGTTAGGTAGATGTAGTAGGTAGTATGTGTTAGGTAGATGTGCATGTGGAGTATGTGTTCTGTGACCAATGTTAGGTAGATGTAGTAGGTAGTATGTGTTAAGTAGATGTAGTAGGTAGTATGTATGTAGGTAGATGTGCATGTGGAGTATCTGTTCTGTGACCAAGGTTAGGTAGATGTAGTAGGTAGTATGTGTTAAGTAGATGTAGTAGGTAGTATGTATGTAGGTAAATGTGCATGTGGAGTATGTGTTCTGTGACCAATGTTAGGTTGATGTAGTAGGTAGTATGTGTTAAGTAGATGTAGTAGGTAGTATGTGTTAAATAGATGTAGTAGGTAGTATGTTTGTAGGTAGATGTTAGGAGTATGAGTTCTGTGACCAAGGTTAGGTAGATGTAGTAGGTAGTATGTTTGTAGGTAGATGTGCATGTGGAGTATGTGTTCTGTAACCAAGGTTAGGTAGATGTAGTAGGTCGTATGTTTGTAGGTAGATGTGCATGTGGAGTATGTGTTCTGTGACCAAGGTTAGGTAGATGTAGAAGGTAGTATGTAGTAGGTAGTATGTATGTAGGTAGATGTGCATGTGGAGTATGTGTTCTGTGACCAATGTTAGGTAGATGTAGTAGGTAGTATGTGTTAAGTAGATGTAGTAGGTAGTATGTGTTAAGTAGATGTAGTAGGTAGTATGTTTGTAGGTAGATGTTAGGAGTATGAGTTCTGTGACCAAGGTTAGGTAGATGTAGTAGGTAGTATGTTTGTAGGTAGATGTGCATGTGGAGTATGTGTTCTGTAACCAAGGTTAGGTAGATGTAGTAGGTCGTATGTTTGTAGGTAGATGTGCATGTGGAGTATGTGTTCTGTGACCAAGGTTAGGTAGATGTAGAAGGTAGTATGTTTGTAGGTAGATGTGCATGTGGAGTATGTGTTCTGTGACCAAGGTTAGGTAGATGTAGTAGGTAGTATGTTTGTAGGTAGATGTGCATGTGGAGTATGTGTTCTGTGACCAAGGTTAGGTAGATGTAGTAGGTAGTATGTATGTAGGTAGATGTGCATGTGGAGTATGTGTTCTGTGACCAAGGTTAGGTAGATGTAGTAGGTAGTATGTGTTAGGTAGATGTAGTAGGTAGTATGTGTTAGGTAGATGTAGTAGGTAGTATGTGTTAGGTAGATGTAGTAGGTAGTATGTGTTAGGTAGATGTAGTAGGTAGTATGTGTTAAGTAGATGTAGTAGGTAGTAATCATATCACGATTCTGTAGCATACAGGACCTCCGGTTCTCGTGAAAGAATCTGATTTGAACTATAGTTTTATATACTATCGGTATCACAATCATAATATTTAGCTCTAAGTGGAACCCACTGTTACATCTGAAAACAAAGTCAAGATCAAATGTTCAAGCTGCAGCGGCTGGTGTTACTCTATTAAAAATATTCGCACATGCTCATGGTGCCAAAGTAATGTCCATGTCAAATGTTTTAAGGATAATTTAGGCTGTACGAGTTGCTGTGAAAGTATCATTCCTGGATTTCACGCAACCTACTATGAAATCTATGACGACTACAGTAATCTTAATAGTGACATATTTAATCCGTACGATCAGAATAGTCGATTTAATCTTATTGGCGACGCCATGACCAACGAAGAGCATCAAGATTCAACTTGGAGCAATATTTCATCTTTCCTAACTAGTTGTCAGTACAAACAACAACGTAACGTGAAAAAATCTACCTGCTCTCAACTTAAAACATTTTCTATGAACATAAGATCCCTTATTAAGAATATAGATCAACTACGTGATGATATTGAGACTTATGATAAGTATGATATATTGTGTTTTAACGAAACTAATTGTACTTTAGGGAAATTACCGAACGGAATAAACGACGTTACCTTAGATGGATTTCATGAACCATTTATCCAGGATCCAATTCGCCCATCTGGAAAAGGTGGGGGGCTAGCCATTTATGTACACAAACGTGTAGTCGATTATGATAAAATTGATATTTTCACTCCAAACCCTGAACCAACTAATACTAGTGGCGAATTCCAATTTATTAAGCTCCATCAGTGCAAAGGATACAACAGAACGAAAATAATTGGCAATGTTTACCGTTCTCCCGCTAGGAGACCTGAAGCGTTTCTAGAAATTTTCAAAAATACGCTGCACAACCTAGGGAGACACACCCGTAAACATATGACGCTTCATGGAGATTTCAACCTTGATTTACTGAAGCACAGCAGCGACCAAGCATGTCAGAACATTATAGATATTGCTTCCTCTTACGGTTTTATTCAAATTGTATCACGCCCAACTCGCCTAACGGACCATAGTGCCACGCTTATTGACCACATCTACACAAACAATCTTGAGGATACAATAAGCTGTAATGTCTTAACGACAGATATGTCGGATCACTTAGCAATAGTCACTACAATAAATCTTGATAACACGCCAACCAGCAGCTACCGCTCTGCGTCTAACTCACAAAATGTATCTCAAACTGAAACACGTAGATTTAACGACACCAACAATCAAAAATTCAGAGACTTAATTATAGATGAAAGTTGGTCAGAAATTTTTAACAATACCAATGATGCCAACGAACAGTTCAATAATTTTAATACGGCTTATAATAAGATTTACGAGTCTGCCTATCCTACAAAAAGACAATCACGAAGACAAAATGAACGTGTTAATCCGAAACCATGGATGCTGCCCTGGCTCGAAGAAGCTATAGAACGTAAAAATGAGTCATATTATGATTTTGTTAAGGAACCATCTGATAGCAACCGCAGTAAATATGACCGTCTGAAGAAGTTTTGTAATAAACACATCGATAAAGCTAAAAACAAGCACTTCAAAAAATTTTTTGAGCAAAACAAAGAAACTTCTAAGAAGCAGTGGCAAATGATAAACAGTCTTCTAAATAGGAAAAAATCTAAACCTACCTTAATAAAACTGACTGACGAAGACGGCTCAATCAGCACTCCGGCAGCTGTAGCAGAAAAATTTAACGATTACTTCTCAAACATCGCTCCAAAAATTAAGTCTGAAATTAGTAGTAGGACCACTTTTGATCCTGGTGGAACCCAGAGCACACTTCGCAACGCCACTCCAAGTAGTATTTACTTAAAGCCAGTTACTGCCACTGAAATTGAGGACGTCATAAACCTGCTTAAGAATAAAGCCACACTAGACACTAAAATTGAACCTCTAAAAATCGCTAACAGTTGTCCCAGTTTTACTAGTGTACTAGCCCACGTTGTCAACAGTTCTTTTGAACAGGGGATCTTTCCACAGGCTTTGAAAGAAGCGAAGGTGGTCCCAATTCACAAAGGTGGATCTAAATCTGACATAAAAAATTACAGACCAATATCTCTTCTTGCTTCATTCTCTAAAGTATTTGAAAAGCTAATGCATAACCGAGTTTTAAGTTTTTTAGATAAATACAGCATACTATGTGAAAACCAATACGGTTTTCGCCCGGGTAGGTCTTGTGAACATGCTCTTCTCAACGCAAAAGACACCATTCTTAATTCAATGTCTAAAAAGCAGGTAACTTTACTTCTTTTAATCGACTTCAGCAAAGCTTTCGACCTTGTGGATCATTCCATACTCTTGCGCAAGCTGGACCATTACGGCATAAGAGGTCAAGCCTTAAACTGGTTCAAGTCATATCTCACTAACAGGAAACAGTTTGTATCAATTGGCTCGTCAAAATCTTCAACCAACCAAATTTTATACGGCGTGCCTCAAGGGTCAATATTAGGACCTTTACTCTTTATAATCTACATAAACGACCTGCCTCAAATATCAGATATAGCCAATTTCATTATGTACGCAGATGATGCCAACATCTTCCTGATAGGAGAAAATCTTAATGAAGTTTACGATAAACTAATAACTCTTAGCGATGCTTTAGTTAAGTGGGTAGATAATAATGGTTTAGCTCTCAACCTTAAGAAAACAAATTATATGATCTTCTCTCGACAAAGGAATCTTAATTATCGTGATGTGACAATTTCTGGTGTCACAATTGAGAGAAAAACAGAAGCCCGTTTTTTAGGAGTTATAATAGATGATAAACTAAACTGGTCCTATCATATCTCTGCCATGAAAATGAAAATGTCCAGATACATAGGAGTCATGTACAAACTTAAAAAATATCTGCCTCTCGAAGCACGTCTTCAAATTTATCAAAGTTTTGTGCAGTCACACCTTAATTATTGCAGCCTTGTATGGGGTTTTGCTGCTAAGTCTCATATTGAATCACTTTTTGTAAAACAGAAAATGGGCCTTCGTGCAGTATTACCTGGTTTCGTCAATTACTGGTACAAGGACGGTATCCCCCCAGCAAGTACTAAGTCTGGCTTTTATTTACATAAAATATTGACAGTACACAGTATCATTGTAAAGAACGCACTCATTTTAATGCATAAATTGAAAAACTTTCCTAATCTAGTACCATTGTCTCACAAGAAAACAATTCCCAAAAGCGCACCATTATTTAATACTAACACGGATTCTATTCTCACTACACAATGGTTTACCTGAGGACCCCAGGCTTTAATGTTGGTAAACAACATTAAAGAATAGAGATTAGGCGGAATGACAGGCTGAGCGCGGCCCAGTAAACAATGGTCAGAAAAGTATGGTCAACACCCCTACAACAACTCAGTATTTTTTAAAGGTCCATTATTAGCAATAAACCGATATAATGTTGCAGCAACTTCCCCGCCTAGTCTATTTAACCTGAACATTTACAAAACTTGTATAAAAACTATGCTCATCGATCAGCAAAATGAAAACATCGAAGACGAATGGCCTAATTTCATGTTATTTTGTATAACAGGACTAAGAAAATCAAAGCGTAACATAAACCAAAATGCCGATAATAACCTTGTCTCTACATCTTAGATTATATGCACACACTTATGCATCACTCAATAAACGTCGCATATCTCATCATTTACACTGCCAACATTGGACATTCTTTTTTATCGCCGCGTATTTCAAATCAAGTTACAAATTCTACAAATTTTGAAGTGCTCAGTCTTGTTTTACTGTTTTTAATCTTTACCTATTAACCATTAGAAAATTAAACTTTAAGTTATAAACCTTCATTGCATACTTTACCGGTAGAGTCTAAATTGAATAGTTTGAGATTTCCTTAACATTTTATATTTATGCATGTGCCCCACGGGGATGATTTTCTTATTACCATTGATATTATATATATTTTTTGAGTAAACATTGGCTGGTACCACGGGCCAGTCCCCAACAAAAAAAAAAGAAAGTATGTGTTAGGTAGATGTAGAAGGTAGTATGTTTGTAGGTAGATGTTAGGAGTACCCAGCAATCAGCAGGCAGCCAGTATCCAGCAGCATCTTGATGATATTAAATTACCCAGCGCCAAACTATGGAACACCTTCACTGCTCCATCTTGAATAGATTGAACGTATAAACTAGCCTCTTACATAAAATTACAAGGAACCGCAACAATATACCTACCACAACTCGCAGTTTAATCCTGCTCATCAATGATGTACAATATTATACGGGAGTAAGTTCAAAGTCAGACAAATAATGAAAACTGCAATTTTGAAACTGTCCCTGTGTGAAATACCTAAGCGATTACGATTTGGTAGGCTAAAATAGCGACTCAATCTATATTTTAGCAGAGTTGAAAAATACGTGAGATAATTTTTTAAATACGCCGTATTTTGCGTATTTTTGCTTAGAAATAAAATACGTCAAAAATACGCTAAAATACGTTTTTCTTGAAATTTCATTCAAAGACTAAAGTTATGTCATTCGTTTGCATTTTTTTCAGACACATTTCTATTTAACTTCAACGCTTTAATGCTTTGGTATAGCACGTGCCCAGTACTCTGAAGTCATATGCGAGGTGAAAAACGACAGAGCTATGCGAGTTTTGATAAAATCGTAAATTTATATAAAGCAATAGTACTAATTACTTTATTGGAGCTATCAATGGTACAATAACACTTATTACGTATTTTATTCAACGAAAATAAAATACGCCGTATTTAACGTATTTTTGATATTTTATAAAATTCGTAAAATACGTATTTTTCAACTCTGTATTTTAGTCACTGACTGGCTATTATTTGTTCGGCTTGTTGCCACACGATGCATGTCCCTTGTCAAAATTCAAACCTTTTTACTACGATTTTTGACGAATAACCTGCAATTTTAGTGCAATCTGATTGCAAGCCAACAAAACGAACACCAAAAAAACATGGTGTCATAAACTGGTGATTTTACAAAGAATAGAGTTATTTTTAGAATTGCATATTGTTACGTTGTCCCACATGGTAATTTTAATAAAATAGTACTGACTAATACATATAATATATATATCATGTATAACATGTATAATATGTGCTGTAATATCTGGTCAGCTAAATATGGCGTATATGAAATTGTTGATCGGTGGAAAGTATGATTAGCCGTATTGCGTTTGCGCCCACGTTTTAGCCGACCATATTTTAACTGATAAGGTACTTTTTCAAACAACTTTAAGTTAATTGTAAAAATATCCATAGATAAAAAAAAATAAAAGTATATTGAGGTATTGAGAATTTACATCGGAGAGAGAGAGGTGATATAATGTTAAATATTTAGAAGAGTTCGTAAACCACCTAATATCAGAAAGTGCCTGTAAAACCCTCCAATATCATAATGTGCCTGTAAAACCACCTAATATCAGAATGTGCCTGTAAAACCACCTAATATCAGAATGTGCCTGTAAAACCACCTAATATCATAATGTGCCTGTTAAACCACCACTCAGTTATTTGTCATACAGGACCTACCACTACTCCTATTGTTCATCTCCTCTCTAGACTTTCTACCCTTAGCTGTGAGTCCATTCCTCACCACGTGATTAAAGAGCAGGTGGAGCAGGACATTAGTAGCAGCTGCAGCAAACAGAGAGAAATAATACCACAAATAGACATACGTCTCCACCAGAGGGTTCCCCGTTATACCCAGTACTTTCTCAAAGAGCGTCCTCGGGGAGTCATTGAATGAAGCAAGGGTGTAAAAGTTTATAATCTCCATATAGCAGATGAGGTAACTGACTGACACTAGAAAAGTCATGAAAATAGCCCTGTTTTCCCTCTTGGCTCTCTTCTGCTTCTGGAAACTCTTTAATTTGTTCAGTTTGCTTTGCCTTCTCTTCAGTGAAGATTTAACTGAAGAGCCTGTTGTCTTGTTGAAGTGAGTTTCACTGTTATTGTCAAGTGATACTATCTCGAAGTGTTTGTAGCCGCTACTCTCTGCACCAGTAGTCGCTGTGCTCATGGACAACTCTTGCTGAGCATCTTTTGTCGAGGCCTTGTAGTTGTAGCCCTTTCTAATAGAATTTCCAAAATTCTGTACTGTGGCTACTCGAGATAGTTGGTGTCCCATATTCCCTATCTTCGTCAGCATTACCTGAAGGGTATTTAGTTAATGTTATGTTTTTAGTACTTTGAGAAAGTCACCGCTGATCAGGTGCTGATTAATGTTTGAGAGTAGTTAAGGGGACATTCACAAATAGTAGTTAAATATTCAACAGTTTTATATAATCCTCATTAATTAATATCTGGACAAATTAAAAGCGCGCAGGAAAGGACCTACCTTGGTAGTGCTGGTTTGTTCAGATAGCATGACGTTCGGGTCGGGTTTTATCTTCATCATTATTATCCTTGTCATAACCAGTAGATTACAAAACACGATGCAAGCACATGTCAGCATCATGGGAAGCGTAAAGAAGGTCATGTACAGAGCTGAAACATAAAGTCATATCAGACTGTGTCATGTACAGAGCTGAAACATAAAGTCATATCAGACTTTGTCATGTACAGAGCTGATAGATAAAACATGTTAATTCATCAATAGACATACTTTAACAACAGTAACCTGTAAATTTTACTACATATTACCATGGTTACTCCCTTGTTACCATGTGGTGACCCCCTTGTTACCATGGTTACCACTATATTACCTGTAAATGTTTTCTTGCTCTCGTACGCACTCTTGATGCTTTGGTCGCAGAACCCCCAACCTCTGTATAGCGCATATTTACCTGAAACATACGTGTTTTTGTATTACTGTTATTACTAATAACCATGAGAATTAACTATTCATCATCATTCAGCAATAGGATCTACCAAAGTAATAAGTTTCAGCTATAACTTCCGAGAGGAAGACTGTTAGTTTTCATTACAACCACTATTATAGCCACATTAATTATTATAATGCCTTGTCTTTACACCCCAGTTCCATGGCCGGATATTATGCCAAATTATTAGACGGAGGTCCATTTCCCGTAGATCATCTCCGAAGATGATTCTCCGGCTCCGTCTACTGTATTAGACGGAGATGAAGCTCTCCGGGAATTTCTCGGAGATTAATTCATACAGAATCATACAGAATCAACAAAATTACCGTGGATGGTCTCCGGTCGTGGAACTGCAAACCGGAGAAATATCCGGAGAAATATCAGTAGACGATCTCCGTCTAATAATTTGGCATAATATCCGGCCATGGAACGGGGGTTTTACATGGTGACAGCCACAACATTCTCAGTCCTCTTGTTAAGCGATTGTCCGTTAGATTGTGATTGTACGGACGTGAATGGTGTGTAATTATGGTGGTCTATGATACTACTGAACGCAGTAATGGATTAAGAGAAGCCTGTTAAACCCCCCCCCCCCCCCCCAGTCCCCACTCTGTTTACCATGTGTAAGAGCAGATACTATTGTGGGGGTGGTAAGTAAAACTCCCTCAATATGTGGGATAATCGCTAAAACAGGGCATATTTACCGTTCCCAGTGTCCCCCAACAAGCTGAGAGAAGAAGCGACAGCTCCGTGTAACCAGCAGTAGATTAGCATGGAGTAAACTACAGGGCGGGTGAAGATCTTGTCGTATTTTAGAGGCAGATAAACAGCTGATAGCCGGCCAATGCTAACTACTGATACCAAGAGGGGTGTAGTTAGGGACGCTGCGTTCCAGGTCATACCTGGGAGTGGGCGTAACTTTAGCAGGGCAGTTAGTTATTAACATGTTTTACTGGAAATGTCACCTTCAGTAAACCTTACCAAAGTTAGAGGTCTTGCCAAGTATATTAATAATCGTATGAAATTAACAGTAATACTTAACGTATACTTTTTAAAACTAGGTTAAACCGGCCATTTTAAACAATAAATTGTTGACAGTTAGGCTATGTCATCACTTTTGTAATTTAACTCTAATTCCCCTTTAGATTCATTTGTTTGTTCTTTGTGATTATTATTTAAACTTATTTAAGGCTACTTACCCTCTGGTTTGATGAGTGAAGCCTTATAAACCATTAGCACAGTCATGTGTAGTGTGTACTAACACCCCCACAAATTATTTGCCAGTAAAAGGGAGAACGGGAAATGTTCTGAACCACCGATTTAATTATTTCCGATCATTCCCAATGACAACATTATTGTCTAACTCATATTACTTTGTTAATCTAATACGTTAATAGCCGGGATCGCGAAATTAAATTTAGACACTCCTTGGTCCTTTTTCTAAATATAGTGTTAGTAATGCTATCATTATCTCCCCCTCCCCCCCCCCCCCCCCCCTGCCTCCCCCCTCCGTCCTCACATTACAAGTATAGCAATGGAGACAGGAAATAAGTTGAATTGAAGTACCTGCCATGTAGCAAGTTACGGTGTGTAAAACTCCACTGCTAGCAAGCCAGGTTCTATCATCCAATAGGAACCAGGAACCTGCTATAGCTGTAAAACCGCTAATAGTGTCTGAAATAGTGACACTTTTACTGTTATCAGTTAACCAAGGTAAGTGGTAAATGTCGTAGTTATTAGCATTTTAGTGCAGTAATAGAAGATGTTAGTGCAGCAATAGAAGATGTAAGTGCAGCTAATAGAAGATTTTTGTGCAGCTAATATAAAATGTTAGTCATAGTGCAGCGAATATAGGATGTTAGTGCAGTAATAGAAGATGTTAGTGTAGCCAATAGAAGATGTTAGTGCAGCTAATAGAAGATGTTAGTGCAGCTAATAGAAGATGGTAGTGCAGCTAATAGAATATGTTAGTGCAGCTAATAGAAGATGTTAGTGCAGCTAATAGAATATGTTAGTGCAGCTAATAGAATATGTTAGTGCATCAATAGAAGATGTTAGTGCAGCTAATAGAATATGTTAATGCAGCTATTGTTAGTGCATCAATAGAAGAAGTTAGTGCAGCTAATAGAAGATGTTAGTGCAGCAATAGAAGATGTTAGTGCAGCAATAGAAGATGTTAGTGCAGCTAATAGAAGATTTTAGAGCAGCTAATAGAAGATGTTAATGCAGCTTATAGAAGATGTTAATGCAGCTAATTCAACTAAAGGACATGTTCTCACCTATAATTGACAAGTTGATGAAAGCAAAGTCAGCGAGACTACGTTTGGGTAGCCTGATGAGAATCGTGAATACGAACATGTTGCCAATAATGGTGAACGCTCCGCATAACAGTCCTGAGGGAGAGTTAGAGTTAGAGTTAGAGTTAGAATTAGAGTTAGAGTTAGAGTTAGAGTTAGAGTTAGAGTTAGAGTTAAAGTTAGAGTTAGAGTTAGAGTTAGAGTTAGAGTTAGAGTTAGAGTTAGAGTTAGAGTTAGAGTTGGAGTTAGAGTTGGAGTTAGAGTTAGAGTTAGAGTTAGAGTTAGAGTTAGAGTTAGAGCTAGAGTTAGAGTTAGAGTTAGAGTTAGAGTTGGAGTTGGAGTTAGAGTTAGAGTTAGAGTTAGAGTTAGAGTTAGAGTTAGAGTTAGAGTTAGAGTTAGAGTTAGAGTTAGAGTTAGAGTTAGAGTTGGAGTTAGAGTTAGAGTTAGAGTTAGAGTTAGAGTTAGAGTTGGAGTTAGAGTTAGAGTTAGAGTTAGAGTTGGAGTTGGAGTTAGAGTTAGAGTTAGAGTTAGAGTTAGAGTTAGAGTTAGAGTTAGAGTTAGAGTTAGAGTTAGAGTTAGAGTTAGAGTTAGAGTTAGAGTTAGAGTTAGAGTTAGAGTTAGAGTTAGAGTTAGAGTTAGAGTTAGAGTTAGAGTTAGAGTTAGAGTTAGAGTTAGAGTTAGAGTTAGAGTTAGAGTTAGAGTTAGAGTTAGAGTTAGAGTTAGAGTTAGAGTTAGAGTTAGAGTTAGAGTTAGAGTTAGAGTTAGAGTTAGAGTTAGAGTTAGAGTTAGAGTTAGAGTTAGAATTAGAGTTAGAGTTAGAGTTAGAGTTAGAGTTAGAGTTAGAGTTAGAGTTAGAGTTAGAGTTAGAGTTAGAGTTAGAGTTAGAGTTAGAGTTAGAGTTAGAGTTAAAATGACAAAATAAATTAGAGTCAGAGTTGGAGTAAAAGCCAAAGTCAGACTGTTAGAGTTAGAGTTTGAATTAGAGTTATTAATGAGTAACAAAGTTTATATGTTGTTTCTTTGTATATTTTAGCTGGAGTACAGAAGCTTGAGTCCGTGAATTTACCAATTGATCCCCAGATTCTGTCAATCTTCTGACTGTACGTTATCTCCGTTGTGAACGATATTGAATCTGTGACATTTGGAAACATTCTGAAATAGAATGAGTATTTAAGAATTAAAATAAGATTTTAAATTGTAAACTGCTAACAAATGCTGCAACCATTTTTTTCTCTGATCTCAAAGTAATCAACAGATACAGTTAGTCTTTAAACCATGTTTCATCACATCGGGATACTGACTGAATGAAACGAAGTACTGTAATTCTCAATCCAATGATAGGAACAAGCACAAAAGACAACAGAAGCTATTAAAATCTGGTTAATTGGACAAGTGATTAAGATAAATACTGATTATAATTTAGCCTGATTAGAGAGAGATCTGTTATTGCTATTGGACGAGCAACCACTGGTGGTTTGATAAAAGGAGGTAGCTAGTGCTACTGCTAATGTAATACAAAGTAGCCGATATCCCAGCTACCTCGGGTAATTATAATACCCTCACCTGCACCACCGGCATGTAGTTCAATTCGATTAGAATTTATGGGGGGCAGGGGGGCTCAGCAAAAATAAGGTCATCAGCCCATTGAGCTCACCACCGACTGGCAGCACATCCATTTTCTTGATTAGTTCGGTCTAGAAAATATTTTAGATCCCGCTTACAGGTGCTCATTTCAGCTAATGTCTCTTACTGGACCTTAATATCTGGTGAGTGTGTTGGGGGGCGGGGGGCTGGGGGCTAATTTAGTGTGGACTGAATATAATGCCTATCACAGTGCTGGCAAGCACGATCGTCGCCATTATACTCACTATACTATTTACCCCTATACTATTATACCCCCTTTACTGTTTTCCAGGCATTAAGACTCACCGAAAGTAGTTCAGCAGGGATATTTTAAGTTCAAAACATTTTAATTCAATGTCAAAGATGACAGGAATAAAAAATAGTTAAAATTAATTTCATTTCCTTTTGTTTGGGAAAAAGAGACACTGACAGCGGTCCACTCTACCCATGATTATGGGTTTTGGTCGAATAGATAATACTATGATATATAATATTATGTATATAAATTATAATATACTAGCAGGAACCCGTCTAACCCTAAAGTGGTGTCAAGACTCAAGAGACTAAAATAATTATTACCTATTTAATTCGCGTTTTTGACACCACTTGGGGGTCAAAATTTTGGGCTCTAAAACTCCTATTTCTTGGCCAATTTTTTATTTTTTGATGCTGATTTGAAGGCCATTAAAGCATTTGACCCAGTCAAAAAAGTTTCAGTTGTATATCTTTTACGGTTTTTGCGGAAAGTCGTGTTAAAGTTGATGCCGTGGTGTCAGTAAAATGGCACAGATAAATAAATATATATATATCGTCTCGCTTTATATATAGTAAGATATACAGATAATACTATATTTTAAACTAATTACAACACTACAAATCTATTACATTTATTGAATATTATGTAACGCGATGGAAATATCTTAAGCGGGTAATATCCTGTCCAAAACTAGGATACATAACATGAAGACAATTGTTGTAACTTTGTATGAAAAGCATTAATACATACAGATAATACTATACAGTATATACAGATAATACTATAATATGCAGATAATACTATATATACAGATAATATTATAATAGAACCGGGTTCTTTACTTCCTTTGAGTTAGAATAGATCACTCCCAGGTTTTGTTACATTGCAAAAGTTTACATTTTAGTGGGCATGATTTTAATCTATAATATCAATGCCATAATAGTATAAGTAATACCTTGACCGTTGAGTGGTGCGCGCGATAATTAAATGTGATAATTAAATGCTCAAACCGAAAGTGAGGGCGAGCGCGGGCACGAAATCAAGCCAAGGTAAATTATGTGTTGTAATGTACGAAGAGCTTTCTATAGCTATATTTAATATTATTATTAGGTCTGTAATAATAATATAACTATATGGAATATTTCCGGCGAACATTATAAATATCAAAAAGGTATGTCTTTGACCTTGCAGTATGAGTAGCATCTATCACAAAATAAGTTAATAGGTGCATTTCTAAGGAAAATATTACATCTTATGATTTGTTCATGTTGGATTGTTAACGGTTGATACAATGTTTCTTTGGAATATTATACAAGACACATATTATTGTTAATAATATTAATAATATTATAAGAAGGTCGATGAGTTGCGGACTCGCGTTTTTGTAGGTCACAAACTTACAATTGGATTGTAAGGAATTTAGTTATGTAATATCCGGATAGGAACATACTTAATAATTTCAACACTACTATATAACAAATAATTGATATAGTTACATTGCATTTGCAACGTTGGATAGTTCCCAGGAAACCTTACTGGCGGGGCCCAAACTTCGAAAGTAAAAGAGCTAGAGACTTCCGGTTTTTTGCAAAATGGTCGCTTATTTGTAAAAATAACGTTTCCCCGCGCGCCAGCTCGAGCCATTTGTTTGAATTAGACCACCTCTAGATCGTTCGCGTTTAGCGTTTTAAGATTAATCTGGACGAGTTTAAGAAAAGGCGTATTTTTAATTCGTTAAGCAATGATAATTATTTTTAAGTGTCAGGAGAAGTTATTTTTATAAAATTCAAAATTGAAGGAATCAATAATATTGAAAATAAAAAGAAACATAACCAATGATAACGATCATCTTTGGTTTCATCGTCATACTTTAGCTTTGTAGAAATGTATAACTTAATGAATTATGATCAAATGATGTCAAAAATAGTATTTTACTTTACTAGATGTAATGAGTAACAAAACTCAAATTGAATATCGCATATGCGCTCAACTTTATGTTTGTTAAATACATGATAATATTGACCAAAACCCATAATCATGGGTAGAGTGTACCGCTGCCAGTGTCTCTCTTTTCCAAACAAAAGGAAATGATATTAATTTGAGGAACCGTCCGCTAATGCAAATTGATACCGAGAATGAAATCGGTCGCTCGCTTTTCCCATTCATTCACGGCTTACGAATTGTAATAAAGCTTATTAAATGGGAAAAGCGAGCGACCGATTTCATTCTCGGTATCAATTTGCATTAGCGGACGGTTCCTCAAATTAATATCATTTCCTTTTGTTTGGAAAAGAGAGACACTGGCAGCGGTACACTCTACCCATGATTATGGGTTTTGGTCAAATATCATTTCTTTTTGATTATAATGTCAGGATAATTTACACAATCGAAACTTCATTAACAAGGAGGTAATTCCGACGATTTCGAAATTCTGCCTTTGAAAACGTTTCCTTGTGTTTAGTTAGGTATATCTGTCGATAACCGACTGAATATGGCACTTTTTACTCATTCAAGTTGGCATTAAATTCATATATAATGCCATTTAAATTTCGTGGAAAGCAGAATATATTCGAAATCACGAATGAGCAAAATTCTCACCTTTCGCACGTGCAAACTTTGAGCGGACGTTGCGTGCGCATACAATATTGAATCACCGTAAATTTTTGCATAGTGGTATTTAATATATAGTTTGATAAGCATGCAAAGTTTCAGAAGATTTCAAAAAGAACTTGGATCACAACGGGACTCCAAAGTTGATAAAAATCGTGAAAATCAAAATTTTTAGTAATTTTAGCTATTTTAAATAAATTTGGGCGTGTCCCCACGTGTGCAACTTTTTGATTTTTAACTTTAAAACTAGCCTATAACACAATTTACACCTTTAAGAAGCAAAATTGAGCTCCACAACCCAAGGGATGACCCAACACCAGAGAATACTAATTCACAACTTTTGTGTTTTTATAAAATTATTCTTCAAAAAAGCACTAACTTCAATAGCAAATATCTTTATGAAGGAGCAAGGTAGGAAACTATTCCGGTAGATTTTCGGAATGCTTGAACAATTATCTAAGATGAAAATGTCCTCAGATTTTGAATAAAATTACTCCTTAATAGCGTAAAATCGATTTGAAAAGTTGTTACTTTGTCAAAAATCAAGTTTTTAAAACACTTAATTTGATGACGTCATCAAGTGATGATGATGACGTTAAATTATTTTTCAATACAATGTAAACTGAAGTTTAAACGATTATCTTTAAAACCTGTGGTTCGAGATGACTGTATCGTTTATACTTTCGAATCTACGGACACTTAAATGTAGGCTACAATTGACTGCAAAAAGCGTCTATATTATATAATATATATATATCTTCACGACAATCTGTTGTAAAACAGGGGTTCCAGAAAACCCACTTCACGATACTCCTGAAACATGAAATTTTTTTTACAGTCGATTTGGACAAGGTCTAGACGCCCTGCAAAGTTTCAGATCTCTAACTCAATTTTAACATGGTTTTTAAGGCACCTGAATATGGCGATTTTGGGTTTTTTACCTAATTTCGTATAACATGCTGGCGCGTATTTTGCGCAAATTTCTTAAAAACCTCCATATATAACTATTTCTTATTCCTGTCATCTTTAACATTGAATTAGAATGTTTTGAACTTAAATGTACCTGCTGATCTACTTTCGATGAGTCTTAATGCCTGGAAATCAATAAAGGGGATATAATAGTATAGGGGGTAAATAGTATTGTGAATATAAGGGCGACGGTAATGCTTGCCAGCATTGTGATTAAACAGACTACAAAGGTGTGGCAAATAGTGATATTACTTTGACCACCAGTAGCTCAACGGTAACACTGGATATAGTAAATGAAGTGGAACTTGTTCATGCCGTGTTTATATTAATTAGTTAGGACTAGTACACGAGCTTGTCCTTTTAATGAGGGATATTGGGGAACAATTATAAACAAAGGGATTGCCCTGAAGATGGTGACAACGCCTTGATAAACAAGTGAGCTGCTGTAGAACTATTGGAATGGTAACTATGGTAACTATGGTAACTATGGTAACTATGTTAACTATGGTAACTATGGTAACTATGGTAACTATGGTAACTATGGTAACTATGGTAACTATGGTAACTATGGTAACTATGGTAACTATGGTAACTATGGTAACTATGGTAACTATGGTAACTATGGTAACTATGGTAACTATGGTAACTATGGTAACTATGGTAACTATGGTAACTATGGTAACTATGGTAACTATGGTAACTATGGTAACTATGGTAACTATGGTAACTATGGTAACTATGGTAACTATGGTAACTATGGTAACTATGGTTACTATGGTAACTATGGTTACTATGGTAACTATGGTAACTATGGTAACTATGGTAACTATGGTAACTATGGTAACTATGGTAACTATGGTAACTATGGTAACTATGGTAACTATGGTAATTATGGTTACTATGGTAATTATGGTTACTATGGTAACTATGGTAAGGGGGACATGATATATCAACAGTTCCACCACAAGATAACTCCTCAAACTCAAGATAACAAAACTAGCAACAGTAAACACTAAACAAGTAACAGTAATGTTGACAATGTTACAACAGAGCCAGCCCTATCGTATGACTTAATCTAGAGAGCGCTAATCGAGTTAAGTGAAAGATAGACGGACTAGAGCTACAGTACCACTAGTGCCAGCTTGGGTGGCACCTGCCTTCTTCTGTTGACACCTATAATAACCTCATAATATTATAATAATAATATAACCCGCTATTCTGCAGAAAGGTGTTGTTTTATAAGTAAAGCTTCACCACCTAGGTGGTGCACTGTTGTTAGCCGCGTCTAAACGTATCAATTAGCATGTGGTTACTGTTACTAGTTTACTCTTACTGAGTGAGTAGTGGATCAGCTTTCACCGCAAACCTAAAATTGCACATTTACATCCAGTTCCACTCGCTGACATCGGAAATTTAAAATATCACAATCCATATAATGCATAATAGAGCCCCCCCTCCACCATATCATGCCTAATAGAGCCCCCCCCCCCCCTCCACCATATCGTGCCTAATGTTGAAATGTTAAACTAAACACCGCACAACCTATTTAAACCTGTTTAAAATATTACTTGTACCTACTTGCTTAATAAAATAGGCAGCTCTCTGCTTTGTAACTGAAATTCAACTTAATTTCTGAACTCAATGGCTTGATCAATTAAATAAAATTGCAATACTTACTTATTTGAAATCGATTGGGTTAACTGTTTGGTTCTGTCTATTATTATTTTAAATTATAATTATGTTAGATAAAAGTTATAAAAAAGGGATAGCTAAAAACAACGTCCAAGTTTAATCTTTCTCTTACATCATAACATACTGAAAAAAATCAAAACCATAGTTACAGTTAGTAGATGTAGTACAGTAAATGTAGCACAGTAGATGTAGTACAGTAGATGTATTACAGTAGATGTAGTACAGTAGATGTAGTACAGTAGATGTAGTACAGTAGATGTAGTACAGTAGATGTAATACAGTAGATGTAGTACAGTAGATGTAGTACAGTAGATGTAGTACAGTAGATGTAGTACAGTAGATGTAGTACAGTAGATGTAGTACAGTA